AGCACTTGCGATTTTGCAACACGAAGCGTCTTAGTTTAAATATAGTGAAGTGTTTTTCTTGATAAATTAACTCATAGTAGTTATCAATATATTATGATATATCTTATTTCTTAATTTACAAGGAATATGCGGTGGCACATGCCTTAACAACAAAGCCCTCTTATTAACCCCTACTGTGCATAAGTGTAGAGCTCCTCTCAAACGAGTGGCAGGTTTTAAGTAGGTACCTTGGACACTGGGTCACCGAGAACGTCCTTGATGATTTAAATATGGAGAAAGAGAGCACAGGGTATTAGTTGTACGTTATAATATGTTATCCCGAAGATTTGGTGCTGTGGATGGGGACGTTAAAGCTACCCCTTTCAGGGCGTTTTGTCAGACCTTTTACACGTGCAGCCTGTGCACAAACTACACTAAAAAGGTGGCCATTGCTCTGCGTGTTCAGTATAATAGTAGGTTTAGGATATAGTTGGGACTGCCACGCTTTTGCAGCGCTTCAGAATTGTCGAAAACGCGTATTGACAGCTTTAGTGCCATAATACGCAACACAACTTCCTCCTTGATGCGTTGCGTGCGTGACAGTTTCTTTCGTTTTTGATTAAATTCAGTATAATTATACTTAACAAAGGACAAAATATAATTCGCATGTGATTTAAAAAAAATGAAAGAAATAACAATCCTTCAATAACATTCATATAAAACACCTACCAATAACATACAAATTAATGTTACATTGAATGCTAAATCAAACTTAAATTAACATGCATGGAATCTACATAACTAAATAGAATATAATAGTGGTGCGATGGCGTGGAATGAATTTTGATGATCTCTATTCAGTAGCGCCATTCGGGTAGCAAGTCACAATTGGAGTACGGGCCGTAAGTAAGATAACACTCGTCACGTGACACTGTTGTCTGACAAATTTACATTCGAGTCGCGAGCTTAACCCGCTCGAAAATTTTGTTGGGCCACTAAACGAGCCAGTTGAGAAATTGTTGCTAAACTCTTCTGCTATAAAGTGTATAATTATACCGCGCGCGGAACGGGGAGGTTTCCGTATAAAATTAAATGAAAGTGGAAATTTATTTGGTGTTCTCGATGTGATTTTAGATTTTACCATCCCTGACTCGACGACACACGATGGTAGGCGCGATAGTGTCTGTAATTATATTGTCAGTTAATAATATAGCTAGAGCTCCTGGTCGAATACTAATTATAAATGGTACTAAGTTTGTGGAGTACCATGAGGGATCATGTCGGCTACTATGGTTTGTGGTTTTTGTTGTAGCCCATAGTATCTTTCTGATGCATCTGGTTTTTCAATTGTACATTGGATATTTTAATTTGTTCCCGAAATATAAATCTAAATCGTAAACCCCCAGACAAATCATATTCTTGCCGTTGTTTTAGGCTAGTAGTACAGAAAGTAGATCACCATAAGTCAAGGGAAAGGAGTTACGTCTAGAAAATTTATTGTATAAAAAGCTTACAAACATCCAGTGCTAGAGCACCTATAGCGTGATTTTGCAAAACGATAACTTGCGAAGTATGCTACTACTTCTATGTAATGAATGCCTAACAGCAACAATCTTTCCTGATGCCGTGAAAGTAGGCCGTATACTTTTACATAAGAAAGACGACAGACACCACGTAAATAATTATAGATCGAAATTCACACTGTCTATTGTATCTAAAATTTTAAACTTAATGTAGAAAGAAAAATTACAAAACTTTTGGAGGCAAGTAAATTGTTAGTAGATTGCCAGTATATTTTTAAAATAGGTGGATCCACAGAAATTGCAATAGGAAAGGTCATTAAAATAAAAAAAATCAATGGACACCAAAGCCTTTACTAAAAAACTGATACTGTAGAGTACAAAACAGACCCATTTTCTGCACATTGCCAAGATTTGCCAAAAACTCCCATTGGCAAATTATACCTTACTCAAACTGAAATCACAAGTGTTATACGTATATTATCTTCATATTCAATAAATTATAACGTTGAGATGTTGAGAAAATATTGATCTTGCAAACGCGAACAATACGAATTATCATGTGTATTCATAAACGAGTATCTGCTAGAGAGTACTTAGGTAAATATAGAATAATGACTGTATTTTCATTGTGTGTATATATTATAATGTATAGATTATTACAGTGACTCACGAAACAAAAAAAAATATTGCGAAAAGTGATCTTTTAGCAATATTTTTTTTTGTTTCGTTTTTTTAGTGTTGTTTGACTTACATACTATATTCTGTGATGAGTAATAAAAAAATTATTATTATTGTATACAAACATAACTCAATATTACGGATCAGAATTAGGATTTTACAAAAGTAACAAAAAACGTTAAGTCTATGGTGGCCGTCTCTTCTTCCGTCTACTACTCTCCTGCTTGCATCTTAGAGTGATGTGGAGTGAGTACATTCGTATTCGGAAGCAATTTCAAGACAGTGGCCTTTGACTACGATTGATCCCGGATCAAAGTTATCATTGATCATAACTACCTCAAGTAATAAATAAGATAAGATTACTAAGAACCTTAAAACTAAGACAAAAGTTCAAACATTTGTATTGACTATCACGTTTTACGGATTTATGGGAAGGCCAAGTCCTTCTGCTGCGGATGCGATAAAACTCATGGAAACTCATGGAGAGTATTTTCTGAACGGATCGTTCGCATTGTTATTATCAGCGCAGTGACTGCGCTGCTACTAAGTTTCTTCGCTAATTTCAAGGCCCATATTTGTTGGTTTTGTCCGGACTCAGGTGCTGGTGCATCGCGGTCCGACGACAAGTATAAAGTGTACAACTTCCGAACGCTATTCATGATTCATCGCTGCACCGATGCGTTGTCTGAACTATACCACTCTAACCTAGTTGCAAATTCTATATCTATGGTTGCAAACAACAATGGAATCTTTTACTATAAGGCGAAGTTGTAATAATTTGATCTACACAAATAGTAACTTTTTATTTTTTTAAATTTAATAATTTGAATCAGGCAACTATGGCCCTTACAATATATATTTTGAAATATATATTGTACAAATATATAATATTAAATACATAATATGAAAAGTAAATTACTAATCTATAGGAATTGCATTTGTCAGTGACGTGTGGCCCATGGCGTCAGGTAACCGGCCGCGGAATCCCCGATACACGACGACACCCTTCGCCCAAAACTCCTCGTTCATGAAGGTCGATAGATGTTCGGTCGACATTCTCACCACAAACGAATTAAAATTCACGTTGTAGCAGGACTCCAACCGTTCGACCCTCAGGGTGTATTTGGCTTTTAGTCTCATGTACTCCACTATCTACTCAGAATTCATAGCGCAATGCAGTCGCGACAAGTACAGCAGCGGCGTTGATATGGCCGGACGCAGCAGAAAGTTCGATCCTGTCGGAGCTGTGCCACTTAGGTTACGGCAGATTGATTTCTTCTTCCTATTCTCCTTTGTGGAACCGTCATCGTCGCACCGGTCCATCTGCTGCTATGATTTTGCAACTTCCTCTTGCCGCAGCTCGAGTTTCGAACAGACGTTGAATAATAAAAACGTTAATTTACTTCGCAATATCAAGTAACTTTAAAAGTTGCCCGAAAGGTTAGCATCATGGGCGCTGGATAAGGAGGTCCCGGGCGCAATGCCTGGTAGGACCCATTTTAAAAAAGCTTTTATTTTTATTTCTTTTTCATTCATTATACTTATCATAAGGTGTACACAGTTAAAATTTAGTTGGAAAACTAAAATATTTACTTGCAAATTACAGCCCGAAATATCAAAACAACGATAGCAAATGGTTTATTGATATATATTGTGTACAGATGGTGTATTCAATTTCTTTGCAATTCCAAATATATTGCAGTATGCCATACAATACGGAACTTGTGTTTCGTAGCTATTTAAAAGGTGTTCTGGTGTAAAGTGTCGTTTAAATCTGTGTCAGAATCAGCATTCCTTCCTACTCCGCCTGATCTCAAAAAGGAAGCTTTTTGGCAGTAGTTTTTACCAATTATTCAATGCAGCGACTAAATTTGAGGTTAGATGATAAGTACAAACTAAGTTGCTATTTATATTCATGTGTTTTGTATTTACGCTTTTGCAATCGGTTCAACCGCGTCACCACACAACTATCCACTTTATGTTTAAGACACGAGGAATCATCAGCAGGTATGATAGAGTAGCAGAGAGGATAGATTACTGACCTACGTAGCATTAATAACCTGAAGAGCAAACGTGTACCCATCTACAATTACACAAATTGAGCCGTTCCTCAACTCCGTTGGCTAAGGGCTTATTTAACAGGCTGTCGTGGCAGAGTCTATCTATAAAGCCTTTGAAATATGGAGACTTACTTGGTATAATAAAGTCACATGTGATCAAACTTTAATGGTGGTTTTTTACATGAAACTCATAGAAGTAATACATATATACAGTTATACACATAATTTGTTTATGATGTTAGTAATATAGCCCTGCGAGGTTGTTAGTATTTTACCGCTTTACCGCTTTTACCCTGTATAAGTGAAATTTCATAAATCTCCTTTTTTAAACTGCCATATTTTGAAACTTTTTTGACAAATTTTTGAACTTTACCGAAGTCCCGAGTTCGATTTCCGGTAAAACTCATTTGGGAAATAAACTTTTTTGTTTCTGGTCTGGGTGTTCTAGGAAGTGCCCAAGAATTAAGAGCTCTGTTACTCATAGTACTGGGAATTCCGTAGTTTGAGACCAGGCAATAGGAGTGGTTATCTGGCACATAGTAAAAAAAATCGTTTGTAGAATCATCAAACTTCTTTTTTACTGAAAAGCTCTTATTTTGCAGATGTTTCCTTACTACACATATTTTTACAACTACAACTACAAATATTTTAATAATAATATTTAAGATATTTAAAAAATATATAAATTTACATAAATTCAAGAAAAAAAGACCAACAATAAAACAACTTCAAAATGTTTAATGTAACAATATATTCAGTATATACAAAGTTTGGGTACAATTATAATGCAACGATGGCATATAACGCGACTAACAACATTAAAGGTGTGCGCGCACTGCCGAAGGAGACATGTGCCGAGAAGCTGCGCTTGAGTGCTTCCAATTCACTGACGTCAGGTGTCTCATCGAAATCGCTGACCTCGTTGTACTGCATCTCCTCGAATTTTCCGGATAATGCTGAAATTAATTTTGCATACGTATGTAAATTTATCGTAGGACAAAATTTATTGCAGGTATAAAATTTTAACCAGGGTGGCAACAAAAAAAGAAATGATTTTACCACATTAAAATAATTTGGAAGTTTTTCATAAAGGTATTTCATAACGTATTTTATACACATAAAATTGAACAGAAATTGACTTATTACATGTTTTTTTTACTGATTGTGGCGTTGAAGGATTTAAGTGTAAGCGTATAAAATTGTTTTTCACCTCACTAGCTCGGAAAGGCTTTCTTTCTCCTTAGAAATCTGCGCGCAAAAACGTTTTTTGTACTAGCTAGCGTGGAAAGGGTTTTCGAAATTCGAGTTTGAGGATGGACTGTGGTGCAAAAAAAAAACGACAAATAAGAGACTTGTCGTCATTTGTCGTACATTACTTATTTATGTAATATAAATCCGTTGGTATATTTTATTCTGATTATTGTTGACATTAAATTGACAATGATAACTAATTGTGTTTATTAAATGATTTTAATTCGTTGAAGAACTAAAATAATTTCAATAATCACGTAATCACACAAAATAAAAGTACAAGCAAGAATAAAAATTGATGAGGTGTAAATTCAGAACGCATTCGAAGATAATTATTTTTTATTTATTTATTTCAGGCAACTAGGACCCATAGATACATACCTTACACACTAACATACATATTGTATAATATAACAATAATATAATAAAACAATAACAGAAATATTAAATAAATACCCTACGGACTAATCATAAATACAATATAACATGATAATATACATATAACACTATTTATTTACACGTATGTACTTCGACGTGTGACGCAACGTGGGTGTCCGGTAGCCGTCCTCGGAAACCCCGGTACATGACACCCTTCGGCCAAAAGTCTTCCCTCATGTAGGTCGACAGGTGTTGAGTTGGTACTCGCACCACAAATGAATTAAAATTCACATTGTGACGCGACTCCAACCGCTCGACCCTCAGGTTTGCGTTGGCCTTCACTCGCATGTACTCCACAATATCCGCAGACTTGGTGGAATAATGAAGACGCGACACGTATAACAACGTCGTCGGTACCGCTGGACGCAATAAATGATTCGGGCCAGTCAGGGCGGTGCCACTAAGGTTTCGGCTGGTGTTCTTCTTTTTCTTTTCCACCTTCCGAAAGCCATCCTCGTCGCACTGATCAACTCGTCTCGGTGGTACTGACGACGCAGCTCCAGATACGAGTTTCCTTTTCGGTTTTCCCTTCATTGGTTGCCTGGGTTGTGGTTGTGGAGTACTAGGTCGGACAGCGGCAACAGCTGCGTAATCACGTGGAGGGGTCGTCTCCGGCGGGGCGGGGTGCGGGGAAACGCGCGCGGCAACAGCGCCAGAGGTCGGTGCACGATGCTGATTTCGTCCATGGTATCTATGGCGTGTTGTATAAACGCCAACAGTTCGTTGGCTATGAGTTGCTGAGAACCCATAGTCAGTTACGTGCAGCGGCTATTGCCGCGCAGGTCGCGAATTATTACAATTCTTATTGTGCAGTGAAGCACGTCCGAATCCGAGCGTGCACCGCACCGCACTGATAATGTTTTTTTTTAACTTTTTCTTTTAATTAAAAAAAAAAAACGGATGTTTTATAGTTCAATTGTTTTTTATTCATCTACCGTTTAGACTCGCTCTGGACCTTTTGGAGCGAAAAGTGTCGTTTTTATTTTGACTTTCAATTATTTTGTGAAATCTAGTTTAAAGTGGAATAGGATAGTGCTATTGTGTCTTAATCGAACATTAAAACGCGAAATTATACGAATCTCGAACTCGAATACCCGTATCGGCCTGTTTTAAGGAATCCCGAGTCAATCCAACCACGCCGCCTCAAATTGCCTATCCTCTTTGTGGGGGCCATATTTACAGAAACATAATTAATCTTCATGTTTAGGCAGATGGCTTTGCCAAAGCCTTAATAAATAAAAAAAAAAAATCATCTACCATTTTCCACGCTATAGTGAGGTGAAAAGAAGTGTGTTTCGCTCGGCTGCAAAATTGTTTTGCGTCTCGTCCTTAAACCCTCGCTACGCTCAGGAATTTGTTTTTCTTAGATCTTAGCTTCTTGCTTTTTGTTAATCTTAGCTTCCTTCGCTTGGTCAGGTTTCAATACAAGCACTCGCGTCAAACAACAACTTTGCAGCCTTTCATAACAAATAACTATAAGGTACCTGCGGGTAACAAGAGCCACCGTCTAACAGGGGCCACTGTTACAAAAACAATCTTCTAACGTTCCTTATGGATACTATTTACGCGCACATGTAAAGGACCAATAGGAAACTTACTGCGCGCGGTTGCGTCATCACGCGATTCGCCATCTTGTCAGTAGCCACGAATCCGTCGAAGTAGTAGGTGTCTGTCACTGCGCAGTATAATTTTCTCCACAATAATCGTCAATTTTTGTATAAAATACACAACTTTTTATAAAGTTTTCTAGTTTAAATTTAAGATTAGACAATCGTGTCGACTAATCAAGGTAACTTTAATAATTTTATTAATATTTATTTATTTTTTTATACAAACGTATGAAAATACGATCAAAGTGAAATAAGGGCCACATACGAGGCGGGTAAATAGGCCGGCCCTTATTAGACGTTCGGATTATCAAGCATTTTAAAAATAAGCAAGTGTGTATTGTAATTGTTTAAACTATTGATTCAATTGCAGAGTAACTAAAAGGAGGATTATGTTAACCTACTAATGTTTGTATTTTTTCCGTATCTCTCGAATGACTGATCAGATTTTGGTTTATGATAGAATATTAATTAGTATAGCGAGTATCATTCTAGACATGACAGTCAATTTTACCAGTCGGACAAATTGTGTGAAATATACACGCAGTCGAATTTTCAGTGCAGTAGTATATTCAGACTTCATTAACTTGTTATCCTTTCCCATCCTCACAAAATTTGTTGGCAACAAAACTAACTACTAAATAAACGTGTACTTTTTCTATACGTTCATTGAAATAGGATGTCATTAGGAACATAAGTATAATAAGGGCCACAAATCATTGAAAAAAATAAATGTTTCTTTGTTTCTGTCAAAGACGTATATATAACATAGAGTTACGAATACTTTCTTTAAATATGTGTTCATTTTGTGGGTACTAAGTTAATGAATACTTTTTTATACAATTTTTGTTACCTCAGTTTAATATGGCCCACTTTTGATTTTCCTCTTATTTAAAATGGGTTGAAAGTGTGATTCAATGCCAAATGATAATTAAAGCTAGTCTGAACTAGAAAATATTGTGTTTATGATAGTTAATATTTAAACATTTTACTTATGATTATGGTCTTTATTAAACAACCTAGGTTTAATAATGGCCACACCAAGGATTTCAAAAAAGACTTAATATTGAAGACGAAATGTGGGTGATATCAAAAACAATATTCTTTTCGTGATCTTAATAAAGTAAATATTCATGTAATGCATTGTTTTCTATTCGTATTCCATAATTAAACAAAATATTTAGTTTTGAATTAAGGTGGCCCTTGTTTACCGCAAGTACCTTACTAATTTAGTTGTTTCTTGTTTTCCTGTTACCTACTTTACTCGTATGTTTAAATTGTAAACTTGAAAATTAAATTATCTTCTTTGTTTTTGGACTAAATTTTTTTTATCATAAATGAAGTATTTTTCGTGTTAATTTTCTTATGTTGATTAATGTTAATCACGCTGTATAGTTTGGCCGAATATTCGGCTATTCGGCATTGCTCCTCGCTGAATGAACTATTCGTTGACTAATTACTCTTATTATACTATTACACTAATTTTTACTCACAATTACAAAACTTTTCTTCTAATTACACTACTTATAGTAACATAATTGGTAGTTACACATGAAAAAAATAGAACAAAGTACAAAACAATATTTCCGGGATTCCAGAGAACGATTATCCATCCTCATGGTAATAGATGCACAGTGGATAATACCAATAATAATTTAGGAAGATAAAATTACACTTCATATTGGTGTAATTCCTTCCTGGAAATCACGTAAATATGCTTCATTTATCTCCGATATCGTATAATGATTTTCATCATGCACTTTTGAAGTTGGACGTGTATGTCTTTGTCTACTTTGTATACTTACAGTAGAGTTTGATAGTCCCGTCTGTGTCTCCAAGGGAATTCTTTGATATGCAGCTATAAGTGCCGAAGGTGGATCGGCCGACTTTCTTTATTTTCAGCCGCATATCTACTTCGTATCCTCGCTCTATGGCGGTGATCTCGAACTTTTTGTCTGCTGCAAACAGTGTATTATCTAATCTAATTTCATCATATTACTAATATTACGATGATGATACAAAGGTTTTGATGAGATATATCAAATAATATAGATAAGTGCTTTTTTTGTGTATTTTAAACAATTTATGTAAAAACAATGTAACGGTAGGTATTCTACGGGGTGTAAAAAAAGGTGAAACCGTTTTGTAGCCGTTGATCACAAGTGACACGATAACCAATAACTTTAGCAAAAAAAAACATTTAAGAATTTAAATGAAAAAAATTTATTAATTCCGGTATTTGTATAGGGTTGCAACTATTTTGTTCGTATTTTTGTCTCTGTTATATACTTGTTTGTTATTTGTCCACTGTTTAATATTTTGAACTCAACATTCACAAATAGTTTAAATTACAAATGTTATAATTTAGGAAATAAAATACTTTGATGGGATTTAAGTCCGTAGGTATATTTGTTTTTCCGACAAACCAACCTTTCGAACCCTTTACAGGTCTCATGGTCACGACTGATTTGTAAAGGTCTCGAAACGTTGGTTGTTTAAAAAAACAAATATACACGATTTAGATCACAAAAAATAGTTTCATTTCTTTCGTGTAACAATCGCGAAAACTTGAAATGTTATTAATTATTAAATTTTCTTGTCATTTGGTGATCAAATAAACCCTATAAGAACTTTCATGAAATTCCTCTATTGATACAAAATTAAATTTGTTAAATGTTGTATAGTAAAAGGAAAACAGCGTGAAGTCAATAGTAATTTAGTTGGTAGTAGGTAATTTTACAGTAGTTTAATACGACAAATCACGAAAGCTAAAATTTATTTAAGTACACCCTAACTGACCATTTGGTTCTGAGTAGACGTACAGAAAAAGAGCACAGAAAAGTGTTAAACAAACTTCAAGTTGTGAACGGTGAAATTCATTTTGACATGACTTCCTGATTGCATCATTAGTGAATTACGTTTTAAGGAACTTTTTAAGCCAATTTAATCTTTAACGTATAAGCTGGAATTCCTTTGACACTTTTCCTTTGAATGCGTAAAATGAGTCTTCTGAACCGAAGGATCGGTTAGCGGGTCAGGTATCTTAGGGCCTCCAGTGTACAAGTGCAGGTATGTTTGGATACTTACACTGTGAAATTATTTGATCATTTATCGTCCAATAATTGATGGACCTTGGAAATGCTTCTGAATGGCAATCGAGGTGTACCATGTCGCCTTCTTTGGCCCCAACTAGTTGGTTTTGTATCGTCATTATCGGCGGAACTGTAACAAAGATGCTGCTTTAAAAACATCTGAAACATGTCGACTCTTAATAGTGGGTATTAAGTTTCAAAATAAGATCATAATACTTAAGGCGCACTATAAGTTTTCGGAACTGGCCACTTACAAAAACAATATTTAAAAAGTAATTACAACATTTGAAAATGAAACTCTTTGGCTGTAGAATACAGTTTGTTTCATCTGACTGTCACTTGTTTTTGTATTGTGGCGTCATTTTAGAAATTGATTGTCTACATCACCATGACTTTAACTCATGAAAATTTTCGTAGTATGATTTTCTACGACTTTAAGTGTAATTTAACAGCAGCTTCGGTCGTCTTCAAACTGCTTTTGGTGATGAAGCACCATGCAAGACGACTATTTATAGCTGGTTTGCAGAATTCAAACGCGGTCGTGAGAATTTCAGTGACGAATTTCGTGATGGTCGCCCGTCCACTGCTGTGAACAACAAAAACATCGATGCTGTGCGCCGTATGATCAACACAGACAGGCATGTGACATACCACGAGATTATATACACGAGATCTTTAGGCATAGGCATGAGTCAAATACAATCAATACTACACAAACATTTGGGTGTGAAAAAGCTTTGCTCTCGGTGGATCCCACGCAATTTGACTGAGGCTCAAAAAACGGATCGCGTCACTTGGTGCAATACCATGCTTACCAGATTCAACGAAGGGGCGTCAAATTTGGTGTGGGACATAGTAACAGGTGACAAAACATGGGTTTATAGTTACGATCTCAAAACAAAGCAGCAATCGAGCGTATGGGTCTTTCGAGATAAGCCGGAACCAACCAAAGTGGCGCGCGTGTAAAGTGCCTCTAAGCGGATGATTGCTTCTTTTTTCAATAAAACTGGACACGTGGCTACTGTTGCTTTGGAGAATCGTTGTACCGTGAATAGTGATTGGTGCACGATCATTTGTTTGCCGGAAGTTATTGACCAACTGCGTAAAAATAACCGTAAATGCCGTATCATCTTGCACCACGATAATGCCAGTACTTACACGGCCAGACAGACAAATGATTTTTTTAAGGTGAACAACGTTGACCTTATGAGCCATCTCGCGTACAGTCCCGACCTGGCACTTTGTGACTTTTATTTATTTCCAAAAATTAATAACCAGTTACGCGGTCAACGATTTTCATCACCCGAAGAGACTGTCGAAGAGTATGAAAAATATGTTTCAGAGGTAGGCACGGAGGAGTGGCATAAACGTTTTCAAAATTGGTTCATTCGTATGAAAAAGTGCATTAACGCCAACGAAAAATATTTTGAGAAACAATAAATTCATTTCTGACCATTTATAGTATTTTTTTCTTATTCATACAGGAAACTTATAGTGCGCCACACGTATAATAAGACAAATGGTGCAATTTCCGCCTGTTCGACGACTGCGAAACTGAATATGAACATAATACTCGTATATGTATAGATAGAGTTATGAAGGTTGTACTCATATGTGTTTATAAATAACATCCCTATCTAGAGCAAGGTTCGTGATGATTGCTTGGGATGAGAGTCTGCTAGGGAAAATACTTGCCTTCCGTGTAGAATTACCTAGGATCGAATCTCACGTCGGGGTTTGCGTAATTTTCGTGAGTAATATTCGTTTAGGTTAGTAATATTCACAATAGACTTTAATGGCGAAAGAAAACAAAGTGCTGAAACTTGCTACTTGGATAACATTTATGCGAAAGGCTTTTCGAAGAAAAGTTTTGTAAAGTCATCAACACGCATTGGGCCAGCGTTACAGGCTGTGGCATTAATCCTCTCCTTGTAAGAGACTCGTGCTCAGTAGTGGAAAATATAGTGGGTTGATGGTAGTGATGGTTGCATTGGTGTGATAGTAGCTTTAATATTTCAATGGAATTGATACATTGATGTCCACTTGCAAACAATATGTCTTAAACCAATGCTTGCAATGCAAAAGAGTAACACAATTGTTAAGAGTGTTTTATCAATTTAAGATGGATATTATTTTATAATGTTATTTTATAAGTAAGAGCAACTTACAATGTACAACCAGCATTACTCGCTTGCTGACGGAAGGCGGGACTCCGTTGCTGGCGATGCAGAGGTACGGTCCCATGTGAAGACGAGACACCTTCACTAGATGAAGCACTGCGCCACTCACAGAAGTATCTGCGTAATCAAATCGTCAATCATCCTTTCAGAAGAATTAATTTTACATAGACATAGTACGCCGACGGTATCAAGTATGGCCGCTGGAGTAAGGCTTTGACAGACCAGTGGCCAAGGACAGGCCGAAAAAATCTAGATCGTCCAATGGTACCCACGTTGATGACATAGTAAAAGTCGTGGGCAAAACCTGGACTGGAGACGCACCGAACCGGAAAGTTTGGCAAGAGCGAAAGGATACCTATATCCAGAAGTGGGTACTACAGTGCTGAAACTTATCGGACACAGTGTTTTTTTGATAGCCTGCAGATCGTGAGTGTCTTTGAGAGATAAGTTTAAAGACGTTAACATTCTTACACTAGAGTTACAGTACATTTATGAAAATGTAATTTATGTTAACAAGAATGGTAATTTTGTGATTAATGGTGACAGACATGACATTAATATGAGGTATAAAAATAAATGAATTAATGGCTGTTCTTGACCCACTTTATACCGGCCCGGGATTCAGATTCTACGAACCCGTTCTTGAAAGTCACAAATTCATTTAAAGGGCCACGGATACGCTTCTAGAATACGATTCCGGTAGATGAAAATTAGCTGTTTATAAGGTTTAAAACTATAGTGAAACCAAAACTTTATACTAAAGGCTATTTATTGTACGGCTTTTGCGTATTTGGATGACAAACATTCGCGTTAGTGACCCATTAAGCTCTTGGAGGAAGTCTCGATACATGATGTATGAAATAAATAATGTAAATGATAAATGTATTCTAATGGATACATACAAAGAGTAACCCCTAGAGTTTCTTACTCATTCTTCTCAGGGGAATCTGCTTTACTAATGAGCAGTAGAGTTCAATCAATATGACGATTTCAAGTATAATTTGCTTACCTATGAAATAAAGATTATTCGACTTCGAGTTTAAGTGTACAAGGTAAAAAAATATTTCCTTTCTAACCTCCTAAGGCTCTGTGTACATCAAAATGTGAAGTGATCCAGACCCAGACAATATTATTCCTATCACGAAAACGCTCAGTATACAGTATTATATAATATTATATTATAATATATACATATCGCATTCAAATTAAACGTTATAAATTCTATATGACTATAGGTTTTCTACAAAAACACGCTTTTTACACAAAACTGCTTACCATCAGGCGCACGACTTGTTTGTCCCGTCACTTGATATTATTAAATAAAATAAAACTGAGGGCGCACATGCTTGGGCCTGAAGCATGTAATATTTGGTGCATTTTAACGTACATTGGGGGTTTAGCGCTTTTTCTGTTCTACTTTGTTGGGTCTTAAGCGGGTATAACCAATTTGGGAAATGAAGTTATTTAAATTAGGTCTGAATAAGGTTCGGTTCTGGATAGGGCACCGGACATGTGTGTCCTTATAATTAGGTGAAGTGAACTTATAATTAGGGACTTAGTTGCCTCCGTGACCGAACGTTTACCATGCTGGTCTGCCACGCTGAAGTCCCGGGTACGATTCCCGGGCCATGAGAAATATTTGCATTGCCTACATTTATTTCTCTCGTGAGTTTAAAGGTGTCATTTGTGGTTGTCTATGTGTGTGCCCATGTCTCATACACCCGCGACACAGGGTTTCCCTAGTGTGGGGTTATGTGTGTGTGTTGTTATTATTATTATTAATAGTTTGAAACCAGGTAATTGTTGAACGGCACATTATGTATTTTTAGTTTTATTTTAATTTCTTCTAGTCATAGTAGAAACGCCATAATAACTGGCCAGATACTTACTCAGATCTTTAGAAATGATAATCTTTTATTTTTCCTTTGCAAAATATTACATTGCAGTTTCTGAAAGAGTTACATGGGTACTACTTTCACAAATACACCTCATTACTCTAAAAGCGTACCTAAGAGGAATAACTGAATGCCATTGTATTATACTAACGCAGTTGTTGTTAATTGGGAGCGCTAGACTAATCTGCGTTTAAGAGAGATCGTCCGCTTACATTAATAATGCATCGTTCTGGAGCATTAATTTAAAACGGCTACTCTATTTGTATAATGTTTTGTTTCTTTACCCAACTCAGTACAATTTGTCACAATTTTCAGTATACAAAAAAGTGCCTCTGTGGCCGAACGGTTACTATAGCCGGACTGCCACGCAGAGATCCCAGATTCGATTCCCAGACCGGGAGAAATATTTGTATTACCTACATTTATTTCTCTCGTGTGTCTGGGTGTAATTTGTGGGTGTCTATGTGCGTATCCATGGCACCCACGACACAGGGTTTCCCTAGTGTGCAGGGCTATGTTGAGTGTGCGTTATAATTGTTTTGCATACGTTCATATACATCTTTTGTTGTTACTTTTTTCTTATTTTTTTTAGATGACGCATACCCTCAACCATGCCATGGACACCCGCGACACAGGGATTAAACTTCCATAAGGTACATTATTGCCATCGTGGAGTATATAATATTATAGTGTATATTTAAAAATATTCAGTATCTAAACACGAACTCTGATAGTACCGCAACATAATAAATATTAACATTATCATAAATTGTTCGAAACAACAGTAACTTCTGTCTAATATAAAACAAAAACTCTTAAGTAAACATTCACATTGCATTACCATTATCATTATTAATTATTTTTATGCTTTCATCATCCTCATCATTATTTCAGCCGAAAGAGGTCCACTAGTGGACATAGGCCTCCCAAAAGCCCAAAGAGCGCTACAAACGATGGATACATTGTGCTGCTGGTATCCAATGGATTCCCGGAACGTTCACCAGGTCCACCTTATGGGTGGTCTCCGCACGCTGCGTCTTGTTATGTTTTATATTACTAATTAATTATTGTTATCCTTTATTCATTGCCAAATATATCATTATAATTTAAGATCTCTCAGTCAAGAAGTATTACTAGGTAAAATGTTTAATGGATATTCTAAAAGCACGAGTAGGGGTATCAGACAGAAATTGTTCACTAATCTCCTCAAGATTATTCTGTATATCTGTGTAAATATGACAATTATGTTTTATAACCGCAGTTAATGCTTATCTTGAGGTACGGTAATTAGGGCCGTAGGCGTTCTGCATGAAAATGCTTGATGAGCAATCTCCTTAATTAATCTAAATTACCTTACTTCTTGTAATGCTATTTATAATTCTTATTTGTATGATTAAGTAGGCATTTAATTTAATGAAGACGCTTAAGGGAGTTTTGACTAATGTCTGAAACTCGCTAAGGTAAAATGAAATATATTTGGGTAGCAAGTGTTTGTAATAGCTGGTTCAAAATGAACAGAAAAAAGACAATGGTATAGTTTGGTCAAATCGGCGACATATAGATGAGCGGTTTGAAAGGGGATGACGTGTGCGGACCCCGGAAATGGTGTGAAAGCAATCTGTAAGAGAACCCCGATTTGCATGTCGGCGTTTTTGTTTTGCTTTGTAAAGTATTTGCAAGAGCTGGAAATATTTTGAATTGAAATATCGGGCACTGTCTTGATATCGGGTGTTATATTTTGATTTTAAAATCGGGACTTAACGTATAAAACACACTTCATTTACCTCAACGTTTTGGACGTATTGCAACGTCCATTTATTTGTCCACATTATTTGATTTTAAAAGCGATCTTGTAGGGACTAATTCGAGGTTCCTTTGAGACCGCTTTTAAAATCAAATAATTTGTAAAAATCCTGAAAGTTTAAATCAATGTAATGCAGTTGGGGGTATTAAACTGATAGATCCTTATTTTTTATTATTTTTTGTTATGATTAGCATGAATGGGAAATAAAACTATTTTTTCGGATCAAAATTGCTGATATTTGTGTTTTCATGATCATACGATAGTCACAGTTACCTGAGGCAGTAAAGTCGTCAACCAGTTACATCTAATATTAATACAATGCTAATATTCGACAATGCTAAAAAAACAATATTATATGCGATTTAGATCCGAAAAATTTTATTTCCAGTGTTTAAGAGAAAACCTAAGAACTCGATATTACCGTGAGCGTTTTATTTAAGGCCATGTTATAATAAAAGTATATACATAATTTATTTTTTTACAACGAAATTAAAACCGTTAGAATAATGTGTATCGTATAGTATACGTGTTCCATTTACTTCAGTTAATATAAAAAAAAATCATTGGTATGTGTAAAATACATATTGAATACAACTCTTGTAAAATTTCGAGATAAGACAAAAATAATGTGTATTTTTTCTATCGTGAAAATTTTTCGGAATCGTGTTTTCACACCGTGTATAGTAAGTAATCAGTCTATATCCTCAATTTTACTACATATTTTTTCCAAAGTGATTGATTCAACATTCCAAAACCCAAACAGTATGATAACCCTGTTTTCTTCCTTGGTTCGCAGCAATTTAGAGTATTGTTCAGTTATATGAATTATATGGTCATCCTTTTATAATTGTCATATTGAAAGAATCGAAGCTGTCCAAAGACGGTTTCTTCGGAACTTGAGCTCTAGGTTTGGAATGCGTAGGAAATCGGATACCTACGAAGCAATACTCAAATAGTTTAAGGTACGCCCTCTTCAGTACAGACGTGTGATACTGGACTATTTATTCCACACTGTTTAAAATTACCAACTTTGAAACGGACTCAAGTGAGATCTTAAGGCACGCCTTGTTTTAGATTGGCAGTAACGTACCCAAATAACTTTTTCTTTGCCATGTACCACTAACAATGTCTCATATAATGATCCTATTTTTCGCATGTTTAGAGCTCATAACAACTTTTCTAAAGATTTGGACTTATTCTCCCATAGTCGCTATACCTATTTAAATATTTGTAAGGAGAAGCTGAATATGTTGGATATTTAAGAATTTCATTGTTTTTATATACGTGTAACATGATTTTTTGCTATTGTTTTTAAGTGCAAATTTTAATTTTTTTTTTATTATGTTTAATAACCTGTTAATTTGTAGGTACTTATTTATTTTGCAAATGCCGTGTGTGGCTGTCATAGGAATACAAATTTACTCCTATTATAATGCATGTTAACTTTAAGCATCTTCACAGTTTGTATTCTGTAGCTATTCCAAAAATAAATAAATAAATAAACATTTTCACTGTTATGCGGAATCACCCAAAATCATTTGAGGTAGTATAGACTCTTCAGTCATATTCCAAACTGTAGTATGGAACGCACTCACAGGACTGTTCCCTTAAGAAATTTGAATTTATTCGAATTTAAGTAGCAAAGTCATAGTATAAGTTCAATGTTAATCTTACTCTGTGTATCGCTGAAATTAGTAGTAGGCAGGAGGTCTCCGGCCTCCCGTCGCCACACCACGGTTGGCGTTGGCACTCCATGCGCGGCACAACGCAGCGTAACGTTGGCACCTTCTCTCGCTACCTGGTCACTACTGGTCGGGTAGTCCAGAATATCAGGTGGCACTGACACAAACAAATTAATATCCACGATTATCACGGGTTTCTTACCACGGTATGACCTTCTATTCTTCTCCCGATGTTTCAAAGCAATTTCGCGCTTCAAATGCACCGGTTTGAACATCGGAAGAGAAATAAAAAAACCATACCACGGTAAGAAACTTGAAACTAACAATCTTCGTTTAGAGAATAATCACGAAAATTATCAAATTTTATTTATATCGTGATTGGAATATTATATTTATTTACGTATTTTATACGATGACAATCACAATCCTAATTAGTTATCACAGTAAAACGTAAAACAACAATAATAATATTAATGATGTTATTAATGGTCTGCCTACGTTGCGTCTTGTTTATGTTAACCTTTATACATTATTAAATATATCAAATAAATTTTAACCGACTTCAAAAAAAGAGAAAGTTCTCTATTCGACTGTATTTTTTTATGTATGTTACGTGATTACTCTGTGAACCGATTTTGATGATTCTTTTTTGTTGGAATTTGAAGAAAATATTACACAGGTGATGAATCTGGTTTCCTGGACTTTCCGGTAACTGATTTCAATAAAACTTGGCAAATAGATGTAATTTCACGAACTTTTGAGGTCGGTTTTTTTATGCTAAGAACTCTCAGTCAAGGAATGATACTAGGCATCAAGAAAGTACTCAACACCGGACGTTGAGTAACTCCAAAAAAAAATTACTATTTAAATTGTTAATAGTCCAATAAAACAATGATAAATATATATACCGATATACGTGTGTGGCCTTAATTTGTCCAAAAATTAAAATACTTTATAAAGCAATTTATTTCCCTCGTTTCAATTCGTCGTTTCCTATTTGTAATTCGCACAAAACACTCATCAAACCGTATTAGATTACTGAAACTCCTTTCAGTCAAAGCGAGGACGTCCCTCGACAGGCGAACACTATTAACGAAAGAAAAGCTTAAACTCATTTGAAAGTTTCAATTAACAAAAGTTACCACTGAATTGATTATTAAGGTTTTAAACAATACACGCCTCACTTAATCAAATAATCGATAAACTTTAGACTCGCTTGACGTAGTCTAATATAATTTATTAACAAATCAGTCTAATCTGTGGAGCTCTATGTACATTTAGAAGGCAGAGTTAGGTACTCTAGATTTTCGTGGAATAATGATACGTTGGAGTATGTTTGAGGCAGGCACAGGAGGCGACAAATCCATGGTGGATTGGTATTCTGCGTAGTTCGTACCAAAGGCGTTTAGGTTCCTTTAGTTTGTGAGAATACGTACCTACAACATCTAGGTAAGCCGTTTGGCTTTTCATTGGGTCTGTGTTGAGCTGGCACATATACCATCCGCGGTCTGACTGTCTCACGTCGTGGATGTGAAGGAACCACACGCGACGATCGCTGTGGTTCACAGCGATCCTGTGATTCTTGGTGATAACGTGCGTGGCTATCGTCAGGATCGTCTGCGTGTCCACGCGTAGCCACGCCACCTTGAACCAAAACGAAAGTTGAGAACACGCACTTTTATGGGTTAACAATTGACCCGTAAATCAAGGTCAAGCTTGTGATTAATTAAAGTATAAGTGGTATAAATAATTTGGGCTGTGAGAATAATCAGTTGTTTTGTTAGTTAAATGTGGTAGGTATGTACTTGGATTAATTGATATCATTATTCAGAGTTGTATTGAAAGGTACTTACCCGGTAAGAGCCGAGGTCATTGACGACACAAGTGAAGACGGCTTCTCTCCCCAACGACACTGTTAAATTGTTAAGGCTATCTTCAAAGCGTGGAACTTCTGTAACAAATACGTGAATTAAACGCAATTAACTAAATTTCATCAATACTTTTTTTCAAGTTAAGATTAAATCTACAAAACCGCCATTTTGTATTGTTGCAAACAAAATTGAATTGCTGATGAATACACAAAAGCTAGAAACAATTAAACCATGTGACACGGGATTTTATTGAGGTAAAGTATTCAGGTTAACTGATTTGACGTAAAATCTATCCGAGCGAAAATAAATGTAACAAATGGGACGATAGAATAACAATCAACCGGATTTCGATGCCAGTAGACATATTTGCATTGAAATGTAATAGCCGACCTCCCTAATCCGTTATATTGCCGTGGCCTGTCAAACAAGCAACTAGATTTTTGTGGACCCTACGTCATCAAGTACCAAAACGGGACCTGCTTTTTAATCGACTTCAAAAATAGGAGGAGGTTCTCAATTCGACTGCATGTTTTTTTATATGTATGTTACGCGATAACGCTTTTGTGAACCGATTTTGATGATTCTTCTTTTGTTGGAAAGAGAGTATCTTAGATATGGTCCTATTTAAATTTGAAGAAAATATCCCACCTCTAAGGGTGGCAAACTAGGGGATGAATGACTTTTCAGGTTGGTTGTTTTAGTACTCTGTACTGAGATTATAATGATGAAGTCTATCTAGTTCACCAAAAGCTAGAAATACGAAAATTTTAAGCGCATATTTGTATGTGTTCGTATCTCGTTATTGTAATATTTGTACTCCACAAAGAATGTTATATTACAATTAGACATTACACAAAATTTAACTTAAATATAATTTGTTTCCAGGAAAATAGTGAACGATTTAGACCTAAGTAAACAATATACACTAGTCTAATTATCGTTGTAGACAAATATTAACGTTGGTTGGGGCGACTTTCCACAGTCGGTCGAAAAATACACACACACGCACGTATATTCTTTTGTATTGTGTCTAGAACAAATTTGCTTGTGGGTCGCAATATCCAAGAGAACGGCCCCTGGGGAGCTATCCTGTTTTATTTGCGCGCCAGAACCGATAATGAAGGTTTTTTTCTCTGTACCTATTTCGAAGAGTCAATATACTAAAGGCGTAATAAAGGGTAGCATTTTAGACTCTCTCCTGTTCATGGGGTGTAACAAGGTGTAACAACATAACTCAACCGGTGACAGCTGAATTATGTTTTTTGTACGTTCACACGTAATTATAACAGCAAAATTAACAAAAAGAATAAATAAATTTGTTGATCCAAAAGGAATTCCTTTTATTTCATATTTTTTTATAATAACATTTTTTATTATGAGTGTGATCATCAGATGGTGATGGATCTTTAAGATGGTGACGATCGCACTTTTTCGTTGCGTGCTGTATATGTTTTACTTGGCGCCCAATATTAATTGTCGCATAATGTAATCGAGTCCTTCGCCAGAAGACAGCCGTCGATCGAAAATTGTTCCCACCAGTTTGTATTTAAGTTGCTAAATGGCTCAGCAACGATGGAATAACAACAGAGATTAAGCAAATTAAACAATAAGATAACGTTAATCAATAGATTGACAATAAAATGTTTAGAAGGCCTTTATGATCGTAAATGTGCCGAATTTGCTCTTATGCCTCCTTAAGGTAGGATATTATTATTTTGATGGCATATTTTTCCGAATCGACTACTAAAATATACTTTTGGTAACTTGTCATGTTATAGGCATTTTATGCGAAAAGTCATATAATTTTTACTTCAGTCTTTAATGTAGGGACTGAAGCCGTTGTCAGCGAATTTTTTTAAGCGAGCTTAATTTAAAAAAAATGTTTTAAATGCTGATTTACGATGTTCGCTTATTTGAGAGCTTGAGTAGCATAATTAAAATCATTTAGAAGAGGTTGAAAGCGTTTATTCTTTTTGCTCGCTGGTATAATTTTATCAAAATGAAATTGTAAAGATTTTCAATATCATATCACTGTACATGAGCTTAATATTTAGGAAAGCGATGCTTTGTCATGACATGTTTAATCTTGTTGAATACGTCGGTGTAATTTGAAACTTTTTGTCAAATGGGCTCAAGTATCGCGATTTTGTCAAAATCTATTTAGTGTGTTTTCTTGTTCAATAAACTTTTTATGTCGAAACGAGTTCTAGTAAACATTTTGTGAAATGCATGTATAACGAACAGGTGGTCTAAATTAAATAAGAATCGTCTGAAACCCACTTATTTACGTGATTTAAAACTCACACGTTTTATGAGTTCAAAGAATCTCCAGAGAAAATTTCTGGAAGAGCATTAAGATGTCCTTAACGATTAAAAAAAATTGTAAATGTTTTTACGTCGATTTTTATATATACATATATACGCACGTTTGTCGTCGACATAATACTGATATTAAGTTGTGTAACGATTTAAAAAAAATATTTGTGTTACGATGTTCAGAAAAAAAAACAGGTTCTTAATATAAAAAAATCGAAGAATCGTTTGGAACCTACTTATTTAAGATTTCTTCCATTATGTGCATTGACCTACAGTTATGTGATTTAAAATACACGCGTTCCAGCCTGGAGCAACAAAAGATGATGTTCGTTTTATGAGTTCAAGGAAATCTCCGGAGAGAATTTCTGAGAGAGCATTATATGTCCTTAGCGACCAAAAGAAAGTTTTAAATGCTTTTATGTCGATTTTTATACGCACGTTTGTCGTCGACATAATACTGATATTAAGTTGTGTGACGTTTTGAAGAAAACGATTTGTGTTACGATGTTCAGTAAAAACAAAACAGGTTCTTTAGAGAGAAAAAAATTCGAGGAATCGTCCGAAACCTACTTATTTACGATTTGTTCCGTTATGTGATTTAAATAAAACACACACGGGCCAGCCCGAAGCAACAAAAATGATGTTTATCGTTTCATTGCTTCAAAGAAAGTCTCCAGAGACAATTTCTGAGAGAACATTATGTGTCCTTAGCGACTAAAAGAAAGTTTTATGTCGATTTTTATATGCACGTAGGTCGTCGACATAATACTGATATTAAGTTGTGTAACGTTTTTACGAAATCGATTTGTATTACCATGTTCAGTAAAAATAAAACAGGTTTTTAAGAGACAAAAATTTGCATGGGCACCTGCCCTGCACTAATCACTGTATTTTTTTCATTCATATGCAATCTAGATTATGAATTGGTCGCTGGCTCTAAGAGGATATCCTTGACGGGATTTAATAATATTGTTGCTATTTCTATAGACTGTGCCACGAACACGGGTGAGTAAGATACCACTCGTTTGGGGACATTTTGGCGTGTATTTTTTATTCATTTGAATAAATAATAATTATACTTACCACATATATGCGGTAAAAGGTTTTAATGTAAAGATATCATTATTTATTTACTCAGTCTGCCAATGCTTTACAGAATGTATGAAAATGTTTTGGGAAATTTGCTAAATTTTCACTCAATTTTATCGACTTCTGTAGCCCACGTAGTTATTAAAACTATATGAATGAACACAAATACACCGTTGGATATTATATCGTGTTACTATATTATTTGAGATTGATTTGTTGATTGCTCTTCATCTTGAAGAAACCTACAGAACGGTAAAAGTTTATGACTCTTCTAAGACATATCAAATTTATTCAAGAGAAGAAACAAATAATTTATATATAGAGTATAAGTACTTGCTTTCAAATATGACTACAACCCGGCACGGATAAAATGAAAGCGAAACAATCTCGTTACAGTTTTAGCGCTCTGACCGCTGGTTACTGACACGGCTTTACAGGCATGAGAGGGGTCATTATATTTAACATGTGTAGAATTACCCAGTAATATCTATCCGTGGACGGCTAGTTTAAAATGGTCTCTGACAGATTGTTGCAAGTGTGAGATCCATAACTCTGTAAATTTTTTTGCGAAGTATGCATAAGTATGTATGTTGAGTACAATATACAGGGCACTCCACGGCTATGCAACATGGAGGGAAATCCTCAAATACCGTAGATAGAAAATTTTACTGAAAGAAGATTTACTTATATTTGATTTTAAAAACATGCATTTAAAGATTTTTAGATAATTAGAAATAAATAGGCGATTATCGGTCGAACCCGCCAAATGTAAAAAAAAAACCTGTAATTTTACTACATACTGATCGAAAGCCTTAATCATAAGGATTGTTTTCTTCTGAATAGCATAGCATCTTAAATAAAAGAAAGACCATGAAATTTAACATTTAATTTGATATTTTGTTCAGGAAAATAAATAGCCTTTTATCTGACTTTGCCGCGGTCATAACTACTGATATTGTTACATTTTAGTAGTCGTCCAGGGAAGTACTGCCACCTTACCTATTTCTGCGGCGAGGGTATGGGTGCTGGTGAAATTACAGGCACATGGGAGTTGTCAACTTATGGTGACGGGCGCAGTGGGAGTGCCCCTTAGATCTTTGCGATTTAAAGCACTGAGTGGCACTACAACTGTTATGGATAGGCGTATCGCTTTCCACCAGGCACACGACTTGTTCATCCCTTCACTTGGTATTATAAAAGAAATTGTGTCGTTTTTCAGTCTCCGCCTGTCTTCTCTGTCGGACATTATCGGAACATTATTACTAAAATTCTGAACAATTTTAAAGGTCTACAACAAAACCAATAATCCTTAATCTAACCTAAATCTATATATACATACTGATTACCAGTGAAATATTTTGATACAGTTAAACCATACAAACACAACAAACAAACAAAAAAAATATATAACAATGTATACAACAAAGACTTTAATCATGAAGGCTTGTCATAATATGATAAGTAGCTTTTCGAGAATGGAGGCCCAAACCATATCGTTACTTTCTTTATTTATTACCAATGATAGGATGTTCCAAATTAGTAGATAAATGTGTACATATAGATGCAAGGCGAGTGAAACCACCAATATAATATTTGGTGGTTTGAACCACTCCGAATATGGAATTCTAAAAAAGTAATTATGATTATTTACTTTTTCGAATTCCATATTTCCAGA